AAGGAGGAAGAAGAATGCCGGTCCTGTTTCCTTTGGCCAGAGTGAAGGTTGTACGATTGAGCGGCTTCCAGCTTGCAAGCGACCAGAGGAGCCACGCTCCGCCCTTTCAAATCAGAATTAGTTGCAAGAAAGGCTATACAGAAAAGGGAGGCAGGAGGGGAAAGGGAGGTAAAAGGCTTGGGCCAGCACGGCAACGGACAGAAGCACAGCACACGAGTGAGCTCTTCTCTGCATCCTGCCGTGCAGCGGCCGAGACAGTGGGACAGGCAATCACGTTCACAGAGCTAGACATGCTGGTCCTTTTTCCTTTGGCCAGAGTGAAGGTTGTACGATTGAGCGGCTTCCAGCTTGCAAGCGACCAGAGGAGCCACGCTCCGCCTGATCCCATACTGTGCCCTGGAGGCCGCATGCTTCAACAATTTGCCAGGCGTCGTAGGCGCAGCTCCCGAAGCTTCTCTACGCTTAACACGAGCCAGCGGGCAATCTGACTACACAACCTGCTGGGGCATTCCTCCGCGATGCGGCTTCGCCGCACACCTTTCGGGCCAGGCCCTTGTAAAATGAGGTGCGGCCGGCCTGTCGCGGAGCACGCGCCACGAACACTCTGACAGCGGGCGCACAGTTGCGCGGGGGGCACTACACAATTCCAGGACCGCAGTCTGGTTGGCTTTCTCCAAGCGGTCCCGAGTTGGCACATACCAGAGATGGCATCGCGGCAGCGAGGGTGCGCTGAAAGCTGCCTCATAACTGGTTCCTGCCAGGCGTAGCTACTGAGCGGGCTCTCACACACAATCGGCACACCGTGATGCACGCACGCGCGGATGACCATCTGAGTGACAACGAGAGTTGCGTTTCCTACCATCAAGCGCTGCAGAGGCTCGCCCTCGAGATGCGAGTGGCCATATATATTACTGGGATTGCGATAATAATTGTGCGAGGCTTGCGACCAGGTCGAGCAAGGAAAACCGGCGGCGACAGCGAGCACATGGCGACTGGCGATCCATCCTACTATGGTCTGCCCGACCACCTTCGAAGACAAATCGAAAAACTCTGAGTGCTTGAGATCCAGTTCGAGGCAAACCACCTGCAGCCGCCTGATGGCGCGGGCGACGCCGCCTGCGCCCGAAAAGAGATCTAGATAGCACGAGGCTTGATCGCCCAGCTCCTGGCGCAGCGCTTCGCTCAGTCCTGCCCGGATCGCAGCTGCTGTTAGCGGCCACCTCCGCACGAGCGCGTCGCCCAGCCGCTGCAGGCGGCCGGCTTTCAGCGCCCCGTTGCGGCCAGGTCGCACGGGGGCAGCAGCACCACGCGCCCGCTCAGGAGCGCCGCGGCTTGCGCCCCCACTGCCTCCCCGCACGCTCTCACGCGCGGGGGCAATTTCCCGAGCTCCGCGAGGCACCGAGTGCGCTTCTTGTACCTCAGCGTGCTCTTGGGGCGCGCGTGCCGCAAGCGCTCCTGGATCTCGGCGAGAGACCGCCTCCGGTACAGCGCGTCGTCGCTCGCTGCCCCGCGCCTCACCTGGTATGGGTGCAGGGCCGGCCGGCCGATCATGGCGGCCGCTCGCTTGAAGCCCGCCCTGAACTCCGCGGTTGTGAACGCCCACAAGCTGCCGCCGTCTCCTGCTGCCCTCTTCAGCCGCCAGAGCTGGGACTCGATGCCCTTCGTGAAGACCCCGTCGAGCAGCAGCCCCTCGCCCTTGTGCCCCGCTTTGCTCCGGCCGTCGGCCTCGGCGGGGCACAACGGCAAGCCCCAATTCTGAACTCCCGAGCCTGGCGGGGGCGGGATGAGCGACCGCCCCTGCAGGCTCACGACGTCGCTCGGCAGCCGCAGCCCTCCGCCCCGCGCGATCGCCAGGCGGATCCCGAAGTCCACGCCCATCGCGACGACTCCGGCCCCCAGCAGCGCAGCAAACTCCGGCCGCGGCAGCGGCATCCTGGCCTGCCCAGGCGCCAGGCGGCGGAAGCCCTGGAGGGCAGCGCGGGCCCGCGCCAGGTTCTTCTCGCCGCCGCGCCTGAACTTCGGCTCCTCGAACGCCAGGCCCGACAACAGCATGTCGCATCTCTCGTGGTTGTAGCCGTCGAAATAGAGGCAGTCCAGGTACTCCACGAGCGTCTCGTCGAGCGCCGCCCTCGAGCTCACGTCCTTCCGCTGCTCCAGGCACCACGCCCTGAACGCCCCCACCTCGCGGCCCAGCGCGTCGCGGCTCTTGTCCGTCACGCGCCTGCTCTCCAAGAAGCTCAGCGAGCGGCTGCTGCCAGGCAGCCTGGCCGGCGCCGCGAGCGCCGCTGCAGAGCGGCGGCGGGTCGCCCGGCGGCTGGTCCGCTCGGCCACCCTCGCCTGCGGCGCCGTCTGCTTATCGCCCTGCGCCGGCAAGGGCACCCGCATCAAGCGCCGGCCCGCCGCTCTCGGGGTCGTAGGGATAGTCGGCCTCGCCACCGTCGGAGCCCGCGTCCGAACTCGAACTGCTCTCGTCCTCTGGAGCCGGCCAGCCTCCCCAGGCTGCGAGCTCCCGGGCGCTGGGCTGCCCGTCCAGCGCGTCGCCGCCGGCCGCCGCTTCAGCACGCAGGCGCGCCGCGCCGCCAGGTAGCGGGTCGCCCAGGAGGGCGTCTCCCAGACCTGCCACGCCCACCCGCGGCCGCCCCAGCCCGTCGAGCTCGCCGCACAGGAGCGCCTCGTCCACCGCCGCAGCCAGCGCAGTAGGCGCATCGGCCTGCGGTGCCGCTGCGGGGTCGAAGCAGGCGCTGCGCGGATCCGCCCGCGGGTCTCGAGCCAAGGCGCCAGCCATACGAGAGGGTCGATCCGCCGGGTTGAGCTCCGAGGGGGTCCACCGAACGGTAACCGACATGTCCCCGAATATGCTTAGCGCGGCAGCCTCGCGGCATGTCTCGTTCACGCGGGGGGCGGCCGCTCGGCCTTTCCCCAGGGCCAACACGAGGCCCAAGTTGTCGCACAGCACGAGCAGCTTGCGCCCACGACGAGAGGCAACCCGAAGATGGTGACGAATGCCGATCACGACCCCGCGCCCTTCAAGACGAACGATGTTCTCGGCTCTGCTGAACCTGCCCTTGACCCGAAGCTGCCACGACTCAAGGGGGCCGACGTGTTCCGAGGTGATCTGCTCGAACGCGACGGTCCCAGAGTACATGTCCCCGAACGCCCGCTCGAAGTCCGAGACTGGGCGCCCGGTCCTCGCGAGAGGTGTAGACTTGGCCAAACTGCAAGATTCCTGACTGCATGAACTCAGACTTTTGTCGGCTCCCACAGGCAGCGGCAGGCTATCGGCAGCGCGCAGGCGCTCCGAAAGCCCGAAAGCGTGCGCCCGAGCAGCCACCGCCTCTGACACGCGGTAGCGCCACCGCTCTGCCTGCGAGCACGCCTGGCCGACGTCCCGCGGGTCCCAGGCGCGGCTCACCACGCCGAACCCGCCCGCGTCGGCGTCCGTCGCCCCGCAGGCGTCGGTCGCCAGCACCACGGGGTCGGGCTGGCGGCGGCATTCCACGTAGCTGGACACCACGAGCGCAGCGGCGATGCGGAGCTCGGCCTCCGCGGCGCTCCACAAGCGGCGCCGCCACCCGCCAGCCCAGGACGCGAAGCGGTAGGTCGCCGAGAAGATCGACAGCAGCTCGCGTCGCACCAGCGCGCCCCACGTGAAGTGGCCGAGGAGCACCCGCATCTCCTCGCCAGTGGCCGACCCGCGGTCGGCAACGTGCAGCAAGCTCAGGCGAATGCGCCACATGCGCCGGCGGCTGAGCCCGACGCGGCCCCTCGCCTCGTCGAACACCAGGCCCGTGAAGGTAGCCTCCGCGCACGGGCCCGCGAGCCCCTTGCACCTTAGGCCAACGGCCTCCAGTGACTCACGCGCCCGCGGCGCCGTCTCCATGGTCTCCGTGTAGTCGAGGCCGACGACGGCGGCCCCGTCGACGTAGACTGCCGCGGCGGGCCCCTCCTCGAGCGAAGGGGTGGGATGCTGGTCACGCGCCAGCCGCTCCCACGACAGCCCGCTGCGGAGGACCTGCGCGCCCACCATCTGCTGGCAGAAAAAGAGACTCCAGTTCCAGCCCATGGCTAAGACGGCCAGCCGGGGCGACGCCTTCCGCCAAGACGGCAGCTGGGCGGACAAGTCGGGCCGCTCGGCCCGCAGCACGTCGAGGTCGACCGCGGGGAGCACGAAGTGGTCGCGAAGCCCAAGCGGAGTGGCGATCCTGTAGAACGCGTTGTCCACGTCCATCTGGGCCAAGCGGAGGGACTCCCCCTCAGGCACGGCCAAGCTGCTCCAAGCACCCGCCGTCGGGAGCTCCGAGCGCGCGGGAGGACGAAACCGCACGTTCGCCACCCGCGTGTCCGCAATCATGCGGAGGGACCGCTTGTCGCTCTTGAAAGCAAAGAAGATGCCCACCGTAGCCTCGGTCCGCTCGCCAAGGTCGATCAGGCCCCTGACGAGCAGCTCCCCAATGAAGCGATCGTACGTCTTCTTGCAATGCACTAATTTCGGATCGGAGAAAGGTCGAAGTCGAGGTCCGACAGGCGGCCCTTCTTCGCGTAGAAAATGCTTCTGCCATCCTCAAGAGCACGACCAGTCAAGCAGTCGGCGACAACGAACTGGCCGCCCATGGTCGGCAGGGAGACCAGCCCCTCGGAGTAGGAGGCTCGGCGCACGGTGTCTTCTGCATACCCCGGCAAGTGAGAGCACAGCTCGGCGTGAGCTGCCCCCCCTGAAAAAGGTGGAGGCCCCGCCTCCCGGGCGATCTCGCGGACGCGGTCAATGCCGGCGAGCTGGGCGCACGAAGCTTGAAGATCCTGGCGTGGAGCTCCATGTCCGCACAATGAATTGGTAGCGTGCAAAGCCTCAGAGAGCCACCGCGCAGCGTGCTGACGCTGCCGAGCTCGAGAGCGCACCGCCCGGCATCCCCCGCTGTTCCAGTCACGGCCGGGCGCGGGCACAGGGCAGGGCAGAAGCTCCCGAGCGACCACCATGAGCTATCGGCCTCCGCCCCCGCCGGCATCTGGTTTGCCGGCGCGGGCGCCTTTCAGCTTCGCCTGGAGCTTGCTGATCTCCGCCGCCTGCGCCGCCACCTTGTCGCGCAGCGCCTTGTTGCCGCCGCTGCCCGAGCCCTGGCCGCACGACGGCATCCTCTCCTCGCGATGCTTCCGCTTCTCCTTCATGAGCGTCGCCTCCTCGTGGAGCTCTGCCTGGACGTGCTCCAAGAGCGTCGGGCACACCATCAGCAAGCCCCTCGTCTCCGAGGCCCCCATGTACAGGTACTCGTCCTCCAGGTACTCGTCGCCGCTGCTCTTCAGCAGCCGCCCCCAGTGGCGCCACTCCGCGAGCTGGGCGCGGCGCACCAGGAGCTCCACCAGCGCCAGCTCGGTCAGGTTGAGCTGGTCGAAGCCCGCGCCGAGCTCCAGCGCCCGCATCGCCAGCTCGTGGTCCGACACGCCGACGTCGGCCGGCCCGAGGCCGCACTCCGCGCGCCACTTGGAGCGGCAGGCGCGCGGGTGCGAATCCTGCTCCGCGAGGATGCGGACGCACCAGAGCGCGGTGCGCGGCCCCTTGACTGGCCACCCCGACCACGCCGTCTCCGCCATGCCGCGCACCGCGCCCTTGAACACCCGCCTCCTCTCGCCGTCGAGCCCGCACAAGATCGGCATCACGCGGGCGTCCATCGAGCTCTCGGCCTCCTTCTCCGTCACCGCCTTGACCAGGTAGCACTTCCCGCCCGCCTTCGCGATGGCCAGTCCTCCGCACACCGCGTACCACTCGCAGCCCTCGAAGTCGGCGAGCACATTCACGTCGCTGTCGTCCTCGCTCGCCGTGATGAGCCAGCGCTGGTTGCCGACTGCGGGCAACCTGCCGGAGCCGCGCTCGAGCTCATCAGAAGGAGTCGCTGTCCCACCCAGAGCCGTCAGGTCCTCGGGCCTCGCCGCCAGCGCCGACGCCTCCCGCCGCCTCCAGTGCTGCCGCGCCGCAAGACTCGAGAAGCTCCATGAACAAGACGGGCGGAGGAAACCACTGGTCGCCGTAAGTCGGGCGGGCCACCAAGCGGCCCGATCCTCCGACTCGGTCGCGCCATCGCGGCTGGCCCGTCCGATCGCACGGGACCAGCGCGTGAAGGAGCGGAACCTCGAGCTCGTGCCGATAGATGTCCTCGTCGGGAGTAGCTGCCATCTACACTGGACTCGTCGAACTCATCGGAGGAGTCCCGAGCTCGCGCTCGTGCTCGGCGGCGTCGGAGGGACGCAGGAGAAGACGTACCTTGAAGTCCTCCTGAGCGCGCCACTGCACCAGCACGCGAGCTCCAGCCCGCAGCTCCAGCGCCATGCCAGGCGACGCTGCCCGCCAGTGCGCACACCGAGCAGCAGCAGCAGCAGCAGCAGCCCACCAGCGTGCCTATGCAGAAGACCAGCAGCAGGAGCGCACGCGTGCCCCCCAGCTGGTCCGCCGCCACCGCCAGCTGCCCAGCCTCCGCCACGATACTGCCGAGGTGCCGAGCCCTGCCCACCGCAAATTGCCTGGCCGCGAGGAAACCTGACTGAGCGACAAAACTATGAAGCATGCGGTCGCCGCTCTCTAAAAGGCTTGGGCCAGCACGGCAACGGACAGAAGCACAGCACACGAGTGAGCTCTTCTCTGCATCCTGCCGTGCAACGGCCGAGACTGTGGGACAGGCAATCACGTTCACAGAGCTAGACAGAGGAAGAAGAGGAAGAGGAGAAGGGGGAGGGGGAGGGGGAGGAGGACAAGCTAGGTGCGTTCACGTCATATCTGACGTCTTACCCCTCCCTCCCATCCCTGACCATGACGTAGATCTCCTCTCTATTCGCACACTCAGATGTCGAGCAGGGCAATGATCCCGAGAGGGTGCGCGATGCACGGCGTCAATTGTAAAGTATCTCATAGTCGCGTCCACGTGGACATAAACCCTCGCAAAGTACGCCATAGTTGCATTGCCGAAGTCAAGAATGCTCCAAGGCGCCCGAAGATGCTTCCAAGACGGCCCAAGAGGGCCCCAAGAGGCCCCAGGAGCGCTCCAAGAGGCCTCCCGAGAGAGCCCCAAGAGGCCAACATCGTCGATGTTACAAAAAGATGTTTGAAGGACTTTGGGGATCCCGCATTTCGGCTCTCCGACGCTCCAAGATGGCTCGAGAAGCTTCCCCCAAGACGGCCCAACACGCCTCCAAGAGGGGCCCAAGACGGCCCGAGAGGTCTCCAAGATGGCCCAAGAAGCGTTCCGAGAAGCCCCGAGAAGCCCCCAGGAGGCCCTAAGAGGCCCCAAGAAGCAACAACAACAACAATAATAATAATAATCTTAAGACTGTTCGCCCTTATACGCTCGAATGTTCAATAACGCGTATTTCCCAAACCCTCGATACCCGCCCTCATCGTCTTCGATCAAATCCCTTTCGGGGGGTATACTTTTCTTCCCTGCAGGCCGGGCCCTGGCAAGCGGCGGGGCGGCCGCGGACCGTCGGCCTGGCCAGCGGCAGCGCTGATCGGCGGGGCGGCCGCGGACCGTCGACCCGACCCCAAGAGGGACGGACAGGGGACCAACACGACGACGACGACGACGACGACGACGACAACGACGACGACAACGACGACGTCGAAGACGACGGCGACGACGACGACGACGGCGACAACGAGCGAAAGCGAGAGCGAGAGATAACGACAGCAGGGCCACGAAGGGCGACAGCGGGGACACGAAGGGAATGCGTATGGGGCCACGAAGAGCGCGAAACAGCGGGCGCCACGAAGTGCAGATAATGCGGGGCCACAGAAGGCAACTATTGGGCCACTGAGGGTAGCAACTGGGCCACGTAGGACAATGAGGGGGGCACAAATGGCGACAGCGGGGCCACGAAGGGCATGCACATGGGGCCACAACGGGCGCGACTCCTGGGTGCCTGGGTGTCGGGAGCGCGGCGCTTGGGCAAATTGCATCAAATTCCAACGCAAGGCCATTCTTCAGTAAGTTGCAAGCAAGTCTCCAGCGAGAGCGCGACTCCAGAGCGCCGGGAGAGCGATTCCTCAATAAATTGTAAGGAAGTCCCAAGCGAGAGCGCGATTCCTGAATAACATGCGAGGAAGTCTCGGGCGGGAGCGGGGGTCCTGGCTAAATTGTAAGGAAGTCTCAAGCGGGAGCCGTTGTTGTTGTAACCTGGGGACCAGGGGCCCAGTTTGAGCAGGAAGACTTTCCCTGTCATAAAACAAGGTGCGAGCGTCGAGGGGCACACTCTGATAGAGAAAAAACAGTATGCACCGATGGGGGGGATCAACAATAACTATTCTTCAGAAATGAGAATTCAACGACGACGACGACGACGACGACGACGACGACGACTACGACGACTACGACGACGACAACGCCAACAACACAACGATATCGTGAGCTGCCCTCGACCTCTGCCACCCTTCATCCCTCTATCACTCCCTCCCTCCCTCCCTCCCTCCTTCCCCCCCCTCCTCCTTGCGCGAGCAAGCCAGCCTGAAACAATAAACCAATAGTATTCTACAACTCTGCAATATAGGGGATCGCGCGGTGACTTGTGCCAAAGCAGTGTCGATAAGGGTGAAGGACACCTGGTCCCCTTCCTTGAAATTCAGGATCTGCAGTCTGTGCAGGAAGACGTCCTTCTCTCGAGCACCCTCTCTCTCTCGATTAGCCCATGCCGGCGATGAGTACCCCTTGCGACGAAAGAGTCAGGAGCAGGTCTTCGAAAGTTAGGGTTTCGCATTCGAGCCACCGTATGTCGATGTTGGTGCCCCATCGATTTACGCCATGAGAAACTTCCAGGGGCAGATCCTGAGAAGGGAACTCTTTATTCCTGGCAGCGGCAACAGTTGAAGCACAAGCTCGGCAAGGCTAAAGAGTCCAGCAGCGAAAGAAACTACAACGATTATGATCACAACTACGCTATCTTTTTCAACACCCTCGTCCCCCCCCCCTTTGCCGCTACTCCTCCGAGCAATCAAGACGTTGGCACTTAATGGGAATGTCCGACGGCAGTTTAGGTGCACAGGGCGAAACATCGAGAGCACTGAGAGCAAGACACGAAAGGCGCCAAAAGGGACGGAGAGGCTGGGAGAAGCACACTGACTATTGACCCCCGTGCGTTTCCCTTCCGAATTCTCCTCCTCATCATCCTCCGCCACCGCCGCCTCCTCCTCTTCCTCCGCCTCCTCCTCCCTGAGACGCCAATTATACCCCCTATGCCGATCCTGGTCAGTCCAGAACCTACGCTACCTCGCTTCGCACATCGCGCCCCGAGCTGCTCTTCGCGCCATTCGCTCGTCGTGCCCCGTGGAGCAGGGCAACCGCTTCGGTCCATACCGCGACGCGCGAAGCGCGATCATCGTCGCGCCCCCGCGACCTGGAGGACCCAGGCAAGGGGTACTCCAGATTTCGTAATAAAAGGGAGGGGGTCTGGACCCTCCAAGACAAGCTATTTCAGACCCCCCCGTGGGAGAACCCTCCAAAACAGCGTCCCCAGACCACCCCAGGCCCTCCAAGATAGCCTGGAAGAGACCCCCCCCACCGAAATAAGACCCCCCTCCCTTTATTACGAAATCTGGGGTACCGTTGGCGTTCCAGGACCCCGTTTCCTCTCGATGCACGGGGACGGACGCTCTCGGCCCTGCCCAGGGTTCCCCTGCACCGAGCGGTGGTCTGGGCACGGAGGCGTCCCGTGAGCGGCCCCCCTCCGAATCCTGCTCCTTCCCCTTAATTCCTTCTACTCCTCCTTCGCCTGCTCTTAGTCATCGTTGCTACTCATCCTCTCTGTTTCAACATGCCCCTCCTCCCCGTCCTTCTGCTGCCCGTCACTGAAATACTCCTCCCACTACTCCTCCTCCTGCCCCTCGTCATACTCGGCCTCCTTCTTATCCACACCTGTGCTCTTCCTGGGCCCCAGCAGCCTTAACTTGGAGTCCTCGTGGGCTTTACCTCATGACCATGCAAAAGCTTGGCCAACCTGAGCACCCCACTGCCACAGACCAACGGATCTGGATAGACCCAGTGGAGGAGGCGGGGCACCCGGGGATCTCTCTGATTCTAGAACCTGGGAGGCTCATAGACACCGGAAGCAAAGCCAGCGGTCATTGACGCAGGAGAAATACGTGCACAAGAAGATGGGCCTGCGACCACGACGGACGTCACGCCTACACAAGCCAAACAGAAGAATGCGAACTACCTCTTGTGTCGGCTGCTTCATGGCTGGGGCGGGCAAGCGGCAGTCGACATCCACGGCAAGCAAGATTTTACTAGTTCCATCAATCTGAAGGGGAAGTGGGACACACACAAATAAATACACACATCTATAAATATTCCCCATATTTTCCCATTTTTTGTGGGCTTTTGTTTTCCCCCCCACTGCCAATATTTTCCCATATTCTCTGGGAATCGCCGATTAATTGTGTCTGTGTGTTTTTTCCCCTCCTGACAATCAGAGCTGCGGATCCTTCTCAGGGAAGGCGCCCTGCCGCAATTCTTCGCATCTGATGAAGCCGAACCCCTTCTCAGCACGAAACTGGTTGATCGTGCCTTCATACCGGCGCCCCGCTGCGGCACCTCGAAGCTTGATTGCCAAAATGAGAAGTGTTGTGAGCGAACAAAGGCATGCAGTGAAGCACATCTAAGTACGCCCCTACGCGAGTTCATGACCACACATGCGTAAGTAGGGGCTCGTGGTCGCATGAGAACCAGATTGTACACATGCGTCCGGATTCATCACGTGAAACGTTCAGTGCATCATCGTATGGGACCGCCTCAAGCCAAGCTGCAGTATTACACGACAACGCAATAGACCACGTCAACCTATGCTGAGCTAAAGCGTACGCACTGCTAACAAGCCGATGAAGCTGCATGTCTCTGTGCTCGAATTTGCACGTGAGAGTATGCATACCACCAGTACGCGCGATACATGTTAGTCAACTACGGTGCGCAAGAATACCCTATGCCACTTTGCAGAGCACGCACACACACACACACAAAAACACACACACACACACACGGACAAATGCCACCACGCTCTCAGCGGCAGGCGGTTGTCAAGCCCACCGTACCTTCACAGCACGTGTTACTTACTCCCAGAACAAAAAAAACAAAAACCTAGGCCCCCCTCGCGGAACCCGCAGGACAGCCAGTTCGCACTACCAAATCGGAGTGCCCTTTGGCTCTCAGGTGACACCTGCTTCGCGCTGTGCGGATGTGGGGATGAGGCACACCACGGCCACCCAGAGCCCCCATGGGCTCCAGGGGGGGAGGATGTGCGGGCCCGAGGCGGACTCTGGCGGGCCACTGAGAGACTACGCCCTGCCCTTCCCCCGATACAGTCTGGCCAGAGCATCTTGAATGCTGGGATCCTGGCTGGGCGACGGGTCCAGTTTGGCGCTGGTCACCCCACCCCCCGCGGGCAGGGTGTGAGGGGGGCCAGGGCGGTGAGGGGCTCGATTTAGCGCCCCACCCCCCGCGGGGGTCGTGCGGAGGGGGGCGGACTCATCGTCGCCCTCGCCTGCTGCTGCCCCTCACCCTCCTCCTCGTTCTCCTTCTCTCTCTCTTCAGCCTCATCCTCACCTTCATCCTCGCCCTCGCCTGCTGCTGCTCATGCTGTCCTCCTTTGCCCTCAACAGCTCATCGGCAAAGGAACTGTGCCTGCTTCTCGGGACAAAAGGGAGCCTCGCCAGACCTGAAGTCGGCGGCTCGTGGTCTCCCGTGTGGTCTCCCGTAGGGCCTCCCGTGCGGCCTCCCGTACGTTCCTCCATATGGTTTCCCGTGGGGTCTCTCCCGCACGGTCTCCCGCGCGGTCTCCCGCCTGGTCTCCTGCATCATCTCCCGCATGGCCTCCTCCTCCTCCTCCTCCTCCTCGTCCTCCTCCTCCTCCTCCTCCTCCGCATGCTCTCCCCTATGGCCTCACGCACGGTCTTCTAGATGGTCTCCCCTTTGGTCTCCCGTACGGTCTTCTGCATGGACCTCGTGCGGTGTGGCACACGGTCTTCCGCAGGGCCTTCCGTGCAATTCTCCGTATAGAATCTCTCCCGTATGGTCTCCCGCATGGTCTCCGGGATGGCTTCCTGCATGGCTTGACGTATGGTGCTCAGAGCCTTCTGCCGCCAGGATGTAGTTATTTAGCCTCCTCATCATCGTCGCCTGCTCATCCTCGGCCTGTGTTCTCCGGTCTCACTAACATGGTGATCCTCGTGGTTGCCTGCTCCCTCGCATGCTCCTCATTTACCTTTTTATTCAGCCTCGTCCTCAGCTTCATCTTCATCCTCGCCTGCTCTTCCTCATTTTCTTTTCTTCACATTGATTCCTCACGACGACGATACCGACGACGGGGGCGACGACGACGACGAAGAAGACGACGACGAAGAAGACGACGCATGCGATCCCCTGCGCTGCAGGCCGCTCACGCGGGGTCCAGGCTGGCCTGCGCCTCCCATCCCCCGGTCCTATCTGGAGAAAAGAGGACGCAGGAACCCCGAGGCCCATTCCATCTGGACAGGAGGAGGAATACGAGGAGGAGGAGGAGGAGGAACCACGAGGCCCATCCCCTTGCCATCGCTCGAACGTCCATTGCGCGTGCAAAGTTCAGAATCGTGCGCTTCTCATGTTTCGCAGGATGATCCAGGATGCTCCTCGGTGGTCCTCGCCGAGAAAAACTGCACACGTCCGAGCGATGCCAAGTCCCATCTGGACGGGGTAAAACGCACCGTGGGAAACTTTTTGACGGCGTGCCGCCGCGGCGGCCCCTGCGACACGATGTGCCCTGCGAGCGGACAGCGTGTCGCTCCACTAGGCGGGTGGGCGAGCAACGACATATGTACATGTACGCCCTCCGCGGTCTTGCCTGCACGAACGTCCGCGTTGACAAGCACTTCAGGGGAAGCTAACCGCGTACGTGTACATATGTTGCTGGCCTCTGAGCGGGGCGGGAGGCCGGGAGAGGCTCAGGACCTTCACGCCTGGGGGACTGGGACGCAGGAACCCCAGGCCCATTCCATCTGTACGGGGGTCAGCACCCCTCAAACGGGGACTCCACTAACGGGTACTTTGGCCAGTGACCCAGCGAACCCAACCCTTCCCGATGTGGGCAAAACTGCAATGCAAGAAAAAGGCCCTAAAGTGGCAACTTTCGGCAAAAATTCAAAGTACCCGTTAGTAAGTACCCGTTACGGTGCCGTTGAGGGGGAGCGCACATCCCTCCGCTAAACTTGAAGCTGAGGACGGCACAACCACACCCCCAACCCCCAGGCAGGACGCCCTGGATCACCAGGTCGGGAGTGGGGGGTCCTGGCTGGGGGTGAGGGCGGGCTGTGCAATGTCGGCGCCCCCAGGCAAATTACTTCATACCTTTCGTCGGCATTCACAGACCGCGCCGCGCGCGCCACTGAACATTGAAGTTGGGGGGCAAGGGGCTGGCGGCAAAACATGCTTTGAGTTTCGCGGAGGGATGTTGGAGCCCAAGACCCTGGAATCACAAATGCGTATGCGCTGCGCCCGTTGAACTGTTTGCACTTCGGGAGTGTTACTTGTGTTCTACGGAACTGGTCATGCTCCCCCGCGAAAGTATGCGGACCGAAGGTTGCGCCCGTGGCCTATGGCAATACGCTGGGCATCCTCCCCCCAAGAGTTCTGGGAGACATTGGTTTCGCCCTCGTTGGTTGGGTTGGTACGCTCCCCTAGGGAATTCTGGGTGCCACAGGTTGCCCAATGGATTGTGCTGAAGTTGCGCCAATGGGGATGCCACGGAACTGCTGGGTACCACCTGTTGCGCCCATGGGTTGTGACATAGGTTGCGGTGTGGTTGCCGCAGAATCTCTGTGTGGCGCCTACGGGCTGCGCCACGTAGTGCGGTGAGGGTGCCGCGGAATTCAGTGAGTGCCTGTAGTTGCGCCAGTGAATTGCACAATGGATCGCGCCATGGGCTGCAGTTGGGGCGCCGAAGATTGTGGTGTGCCTCGGGCTGTGCTCACGGGCTGCGCCATGGGCTGCGGGCGGGTGCCGCAGAAGCAGGTGGGTATCATCGCTTGCGCCCGTGGGTGGCGCCATAGATTGCGGCGAGGTCTTCCGCAAATTGCTGGGAGTCACAGGTTGCGACCATAGGTTGCGCCATGGATTGGGGCGGGGGTGCCGCACAACTGCTGGACGCCGTAGACTGCACTACGTACGCTGTAACAAACAGCGTACCTGACGGACGTTCCACCAACCCTGTCACATCTCCCAAAACGCAGTGCGCTGACCGAGCTACACACGCAAGAGGCAATAAAATCACTCACTGCTTGGAGCCAGCGCTGGCATCATCTGACACAAGGGGTCGTTCACGTTGTCTCGCTGATCTCCCCAACGCCCGCAGTGTTCCCCTGGGGTGACTGAACCGCACGGCTGCCGAATCCCGTTGCTGACGCCGACAGGGTATCGAAACGATTGCGCTCACAGCCCGCAGCGGCGAAGAAAAAGGTGCGCGTCCTTGAGGCACCTCCGGCGCCAGGCGAGGCCTCGCTGTGACCACCCGCGGCACGGCCGTCACCTGGGCCGCGGCAGCCAGTTGGCGAGGGCGACGAAATCAATGCCAAGGCTGCAATCAGTAGAAAAATGAGATTGCTGCCTGCCACAACCTGCGACGAACGCCGGGCCAACCCTGCAAGCGCGCCCCCCTGGAATGCGCAGGGAGGCGTGCAAACTTGGCCTGCCGTCTGGGGCGCTGCCGACCAAACTCGGCGGCGAGCGATGGGAGCAAGTGAGAAGGAGAAGGCCTTCTCTGATGGCGGCGGGGCCTCTCAGAAGCCCCCCGGCCTTCTGAGAGGTGTTCTTTGTCGTCGGGGTGCCCTCTCAGAAGGACTTCGAGCCCTCTGAGAAGGCCCGCCCCCTCTCGCTTCCCCTGGGCGCGCCGCCGACAAACGCCGGGGCAGAAGTTAGATGCGCGGGCTCTTGATGACCAGCGCGGCTGCACTCACGGACGAGGGTGGAGACAAAGGAGGGCGGGAAGAGGAGGAGGCGGAGCAGGAGGGTAGGGCAGGAGCGGGAGGGGGGGGAAAGGAGGGGGAGGAGGAAAGAGCAGGAGGAGGAGGAAAGAGCAGGAGGAGGAGGAGGAGCGCGACACCGACGCCGACGACGGCGACGACGAACACGGGAGACGAGGCAACTGAGTAACGAAAGAGGGCAATCGGTGGGGGATCCTCTTCCTCCTCCTGCTCCTCCTGCTCCTCCTCCTCCTCCTCCTCATCCTCCTCCTCCTCATGCTCCTCCTCCTTCTCCTCCTCCTCCTCATCATCCTCCTCCTCCTCCTCCTCCTCCTCTATTCCTTTTTCTTATACATAACTTCTCCTTGTCGCACCCCGAGGCCTGTTTTCCACTTATGACTATGAAGCTTAAAAGTTGGCAACAGTTTCACAGATGCAGGGCGGGTCGTTTCCAAAATGTGGCTCTCGCCTTAGCGCCGCGCACAGTCGCTGTAAAATTTGCAAGAGTTTCACGGATTCAGGGCCACTGGGTTTTCAAAATGTGGCTCTCGCCTTGGCGCCGCGCACATTCGTTTTCAACATTTGCAAGAGCTTCATGGATTGACGGCGGTTCCTTTTCAAGATGTGGCTCTCGCCTTAGCGCAGAGCACATTCGTTAGTAAAATGTGCAAAAAAAAAATAACGGATTCCAGAGATCAACGTATAAGAAGTGGCGTTTAGGAAGGATTCAGGACTACGCAGGTGCAAGAGTTACGTTGGCTCGCAGTGTTGAAGTCCCAGGAATGGCGTTCTGGCAGGATACCTGCTCGTCAAGACGCAACTCAGGTTGATCCGTGGCGTTGGAATCCCGAGAACCATGTTTTGGCATGCTTCAGGGTCTTCAAACGGTTGCCTTCCAACGAGGCAGGTCCCTCAATGGGAATGAACCGTTGCAGGGGCCTATGAAGAGGGAGCTTGGAGGCAGGGTTGATTCCGATATCGTTGATGACTCTTGGAATTACAAGGGTCCTCCTCCTCCTCGTCCTCCGCCGCCACCGCCGCCTCCTCCTGCTCCGCCTCCTCCTCCGCCTCCTCCTCCTCCTCCTCCTCCTCCTCCTGCTCCTCCCCCTCCTCATCATCCTCCTCCTCCCCCTCCGCGCTCACTCCCCGAACCCCCATACCTCTTCCCCTGCCCTCTTCCCCCTCCTGACAATCCTCTCATTCTCCCTCTTCCCTCTACATCCTTCCTCCTTCGTCCTCATCGCTCCTCCAACCTCTTCATCGTTCCTCCTTTTCCTCGTGCTCATCCTCCTCTTCCTCCTCCTCCTCCTCTTCCTCCTCCTCATCCTCATCAACAGCAGCATCATCATCATCATCAGCAGCAGCAGTAGCATCAGTATCATCATAATCAGCAGCATCAGCATCAGCATCAGCATCAGCATCAGCATCATCAGCATCATCATCATCATCATCATCATCATCATCATCATCATCAGCATCATCATCATCTTCATCCGCCTCCTCCTCCTCCTCCTCCTCTTCCTCCTACTCCTCCACCTCCTCCTCGTCCTCGTCCTCCTCATCATCCTCCTCATCATCATCAGCAACATCATCAGCAGCAGCATCATCACCATCCGCAGGGTCATCAGTATCAGCATCATCATCATCATCATCATCATCATCATCATCATCATCAGTATCATCATCATCATCATCATCATCATCATCATCATCACCATCATCTTCACCATCCTCAGCATCCTCACCAGCATCATCATCATCAGCAGCCGCGGCGTCGTCATGACCATCATCATCATCAGCGGCAGCAGCGACATAATCGTCAGCGTCGTCGCCAGCATCAGCATCATCATCATCATCAGCATAGCACCAGCATCGTCATCATCATCAGCATCATTATCATTATCATCATCATCATCAACAGCATCGTCGTTGTCATCAGCATCAGCATCAACATCATCACCACCGTCATCATCACCATCATCCTCAGAAGGAGCATCATGATCACGATCATCATCATCAGCATCGTCATCATCAACATCATCAGCAGCAGCTTCGTCATCACCATCACCATCATCGTCACCATCACCAGCATCACCATCAGCATCATCATCCTCAGCAGCATCCGCATAATCATCAGCGTCATCATCAGCAGCATCAGCATCAGCAGGATCATCGTCATCATCATCAGCATCATCACCATCATCGTTGTCATCAGCATCAGCATCAGCATCATCATCACCACCATCATGATCATCAGAATCGGAAGCAGCATCATTATCATCATTATCTGCAGCATTATCATCATCAGCATCATTAGCCTTAGAATCCGCAGCATCATCAGCATTATCATAATCAGTATCATCAGCATCATCATCATCAGCATCCTCTGCATCACAATCATCATCGTCATCATCTTCCTTATCATCATAATCATCATCATCAGCCTCATCATCATCAGCAGCATGATCGTCAGCATCATCAGCATAACAATAACCACCATCATCAAAAAACATCATCATAATCAGCATCATCACAATCACCATCATCATCACAATCAGTATCACCATCACCATCAGAATCACTACCCTCAAAACAACCACCGTCGCTATGTTCCAACATCATCACACTATTACCAGCATAAGCATCATCAGCAGCATCATCATCAGCATCATCATCCTCAGCACCACCATCATCATTGTCATCATCATCATCGTCGTCGTCGCCGTCGTCATCATCATTGTCATAATCACCACCATCATCATGAGTATTCTCTATATTTTCCTCATTATCGTCCTCCTGCGGGCGGGTCTTGCAATTGCCAATCCAGGTTGGTGCCGCCAGCAGCCAAAGTGCTGGTTGCTGGGCAAGTGATGTCCGCCCCGCCTACAGGAAATACGTAATATACCTATCCGAACCCAGCTGGAGAACGGATACGTCGCATCTTGCACTCGGGGGTAAACAAACCACATTTCGTGCACTTTCGTGGCCCTAGGGGGGGTCCTTTGAGACCCTTCCACTGCCACCTTAGACACCCTTCGTTTATCACCCCTCTGCGACGAAAGAACTGATGCACGAGCCTTGCAGGCGCTCTGGGCGACCAAAGGCCCATCAGGCAACACTCCAGACCGGCCCTGGCGGGCAGGCGAAGCCCGGCGCAGCAGCCAAGCCCCAAAAGCTTGCCGCCTGGATGCTTCATGGACTGGCGCGCGGCTGGGTCACAGGGATTCGCACACTCTACTGACCCTGACAGCGGACTAGGGCGTCTCACTTCTTTCCTCCAGCAGCCGAATGAGCTTACCGCAGCGACAGCTAAAGCGCGGCACGTTTAGCGTCAATTCCTCCTCGCGTTGCACATGCAGGAGGAGTGTGTCTCACACGCTGCCCAGACCTGCTCGCCCAAAGCAGCACCGCGCCGCACGCTCGGCCCGTGTGCTATGTGAGCGGGTGCCCCCGCAAGTCGCTGCGCGATGTGCGCGGTGGACAGGACGGCCAAAGCACACGGCAAGAGCGCCCCACGGCCACGAGGCTGCAGGGTCTCCTACCTCCGCGGGCGACCACCGATGCCGCACCAGCGAGGCCTGCGAAGGCCGGCGTCAAAACCGTTGCCGCGAAGGCCGACTTCAAGGGCGAGTTCTGAGGGCGCCGTTGCGCGGGGCGCTGGCGGAAGGGGTCCAGACCAACGTGCTCACTGCCAAGGCCTGAGAGCGGCGGGGGCGGCACGGCCCGAAGGGACTATCGCCTCGGCCTGCGAGGAGGGCCCCGCTCGCCGCCCCGAGGGGCGGCGGTGCACACTCCCACGCCGAAGAGAACGTCGCGCGCGTGCTCGCTCAGCCGGGGACGGCGGGCAGGACGGCCATCGGGCCCCCGTCCTGCGGCGTTCTCGCCGCCGCTCTCGTCTGGGCGGGCGCCCTGGTGGCCAAGCTTTCCATTCTGCCCGCTGCGCCAGCGCCGCCGTGGGCCTGCCTGCAAGCCGCGTCGCGGTGCTGCCAGCTGCGCTGCCGCCGCTCCCTCTGCCGCCCGTTCGCCGGGCGGTTCCCTCCTCGCGGTTTCCACCTGCGGGACTGCACCTCCGTTGTCCAGTGCCGCGGGTTCGATGTCCTGCCATTCTGCATCTGCGCCGCCGAGCTCGTCGGACTTTTCGGACGCGTCCAAGTCCACGTCCTTTTCCTGGACCGCCTGGTCGTCTCCATGCCTGGCAAGTTTCGTATGAAAATTGCGTTCTGTCTGAGCGCGGCGCGGCGCTTACTGCAGCATTCGTCGGAAGCGGGGTCGCGAGCCAGCGAACGGAAGATGGCTTCGCCTCAGGGCCCAAGGTTCCCTGGGAATCGCATCCCCGCTTGGGCGCGGCGCATGTTCAACCTTCACTAGGTCGTCGGAAGCGTGGCCGCGTGCGCGAGCGCCCTCCGTTCGCTGGGTGGGAGCACGCGCCGATCCTGCCTTCGGTTGCGCCGACACCACTTCTTAAGTATGTCGTGAGAGGGGAAGTGGGGGTGGGCGGGGCCTGCTGACTCGTTCGAAGTGGCAAGCTTGCTTCTTCCTCCTCCACCTCCTCCTCCTACTCCTCCCT